CCGAACGACGATGGATCAGGCATAATGTTCGATGACGACAATACCATGGGGGAGAGGAATGCAGGTTTATAAGTTTTACGGAGACCTTGCAACGGTCTTCAACCCTCTTCCTTTCTCATGTGGACTTGGGACCGGCAACGGCGGAGTTTCGAAGTAGGACGATATCAGTTATTTTTTACCTACAGCTAGCTGTTGGGACAGCTTACCAATCTTCCTTCGCGTTTGCTACTGAACATTGTTCTCGAAATCTCGTTTGAAATGGCATGACCTGAACAACTTGTTTTAAGGAGAACAGGAACTCGTTTTAAAAGGTATGCACTCTGAAATATCCGGTTAGAGATCTGGTTGAATAGCATAAGATGCGATATTCATTCTTTGATGGCTTCGGAATTCAACAGTTACTGAAATCAGGGGGGCAGGTTCGCCATTGGTTTGTGGGTTGCTTTGCATGCAAAAGTGCGGGTTCAAGCGCATCTTTTGGCGTGAATTTTCTCTTATTAACTGCCAATTCCCTGAAGCGACGAAATCACTCTGTTGTACTTCGGTAAAACCAACCGAAAAAAAATGACGGCAGGTCGTTGACCTTCGAATAATAGGGAGTGCATTGTGCTTAAAAGTGGTCATGCCAAAACGCGCGACACAAACGGTCACGCTTTGAAATGCGTACACCTTCCTGCTGCGATTTACCTTCATTCACCTGATAGCTGACTAAAACTCAGCACACAGTGAAAAGTATATTTACAAAACTAAATCGATTTCTTCCCTAAGGTTAAAAGTCATAACTCTTTAGAAACTTACTGGACACAACAAATTTGTAAACGCAGAGGGGAACGTACATCCGCAGAGGAGATTGATAGATTAAGTAAATCAATTCTGCTGACTATGAGGACGGTACCATCCAATTAAGCGAGCGCATCGTCGTTGCTTCAAGTGTATTTGCTAACCTGTCCAATTTTTTGCCCAATAAAGGAATATCGCTAACAACCTAAACGTGCCCATACTTTGCTTCAGTTTGATCATTATTGCTATACGAAATCTAAACCATCCTTCTGACGAAGCGTCAAGAACGACGGTTGAACAGCATATAACAGCACTAGCTTTAAGGCACGTCGAAAGCTGCATGATAGGGCCACGTGAGGAATGACTCTATTCTATTTTCCTCAGTGGCGTCTGCAGCAGAACTGTGAATTAGCAAAACGAGGTTGTCCCTATTTAGCAGATCGTCTGAACGTCGGCTTCTTAATTGAGCTCACGCGCATGTCATGGGATAATCGAAACATGACATACGTTAACAACGATTCCCGCGTAGGACATGGCCAAGCAGAAAATATACACATTTACATAATCAGCAATGTCGCTCCTGATACTTCGATCCGTGGCACAGGCCGCTGAAATTGGGTTTCTG